TGCCAGTCTTGGTTATTCCTAATCTAAGGAAGCTTGTTGCCAGAAAGGAGGCTGATACCCCTGGTTCATGGGAGAGCAGGTGTTACTGGCGGACTGGGAAGGAGCACAGAAGAGGGTTGGGAGTGTGCCATACCTGCTGGCTCGCTTGCAGGGAGCCGAGCCAGGCTGAGGGGAGACACCAGACAAAGGACCAAGACACAGCTGTGCCAGGCACTCACATCCAGTGGGGGACCCACTCAGTGTGGGAATAGGAGGATGTCTTGGAAGAAGAGCCTAGTCCCCCCAAAAAAATAAGGGTACGAACAGAGTGCTTCGACGTCTTTCTTTTCTTAAAGAATCGAAATGGCAAAGCTCATGTGTGCAAACAGAGTGGGGATGAAAAAAATGGTTTAACCTGTAATAGCCCTTTTTTACCCCACCAAAAATAAATCAATACAAAATAATGGATAGCTATCAAGGAACCAGACTCACTTAGTTATCTTTTCTCTCAAGGGTTTAATAACAAATAAATCTGGAGACAGAGGCAGGGTATTGAGCAGCCTGTCTGCAGTCCTGTTCAGAGAGTGCTGGTCCCGGTAGGGAGTCTGAGGGACAGCCAGTTCTGTGAAAAACACAAAGAAAATGGGAAAACATGCCAATGACACTTTGTCCAAACTGGAAAAATCCCTCCATTGTGGGAAGGGTTCTGGGTGGACCCAAAAATAAAATGTAACCCTAATATGAGTCTCACCACATAGAATCTTTATAAAAATGACAGATTTGAAATGATTTTGAATTGTTTTCCTTGCTGTTTATGGTAAAAAAAAAAAAAAACTTTTGGCGCTTCACAGATCTGCAATATCCCTGTAAAGACAAGAGTGGGGCCAAGCCATTTTTAGGAAGGGAATGAAGTATAATACGGGTGGACCTGTGCACCTTTCACTGCCTCGGTGGAGTCAGTGCAGTGAGGGCGTGTGGATTGTGAGGATTAATGAATACAGGCTATGGAGTAAATCCCTGGCAAGACACTGGCCAGGCTAGGGTATGGATTTTATAATGAAATCAAATCTACAGAAATAAGATTATAAAATATCATAATGGAATTCTCTAATTGTTCCTCATCTGCTGTTCTAGAAAAATAATGTAAAATCCATCTATTGAGAAAACTGATATAAAAAGGTACTTCAGTCTGAAAATGTTTGTTTATTTATTTAAGGGTTATTGGCTAGTTTTCACTGAGGCTGCTATTACTTTAAGTCTGTGTGCGCATCAGTGGAGACGCACCAGTCTGTTTGGCTCCCTATTGAACTGACTGGTGCAGCAGAAGAAAAAAACAGTAATCCTGTTGTTCCTCCTTCTATCCCAGGGGAGGGGGTGCCGAGAAATCGCTGGGCCTGTTTGTCCTCCCACTCTCTAACCTGTCACATGAGAAGTAAATTTAGTCTCTGAGTAAATAATAGTTCCCAGCCCCTTTAAACATGTTTCCTAACAAGAAGTGGTGATTTAGTGAGGTGATAAGCTGTTACTAATGGTAGGGTATAATAATTTCCATTTAAGTAGTTTGGTGATCCTGTCCTCCCTCTTTAGACCTGCTCTATTGCTGTTAGCACTTGGCACAGTGCTGCCAGAGGGGCTTTGTTGGCAGGCTTGTATTTAGCAATTTGGGAATATTTCTGTTTTATCGAGCGAGAGGCTTGGTGTGTTTTCGGCAGTGAGAGTGGAAATGAGGGATACTCTGTGTGTGACAAAGGGGATGGAGCTGGGGGCTGGTTTCCCCCGCAGTTAGGAACACAATCAGTTATCCAGAGTTTAATAAGAATAAGAAGTCAGTGGCTTGAAATTTTAAAGCCGCACGTGTTTGGTCAATATGTCATGCAGTGGGCATTAAAAAGCTTCAGAAATCCTTCCTCTGTGCCAGACCTTGTGTCTGTCTCAGTTTATGTTCTGCCGACATTCTCAACGTACTGTGTTACTGTGTAGTACATTACTTAACTGCTGTTTCAGCATCATATGGGTTTGCTGTACAACATATGAAGCTGTAGACATGGCCAGTTCAGAGTTGCAAGGGGTTTTGATGATGTAGTGGGTGGCAGTGGTCAGGATGAGTATCAGAACAGCCTCAGCTGTTAGGGAAGAGTGATTCAGTAAAAAAGCTGTGGGGTGATGTGTTCAGATATATTTTACCTGTAACCAACTTTTACGATGGTCACAAATGGAGAGGTAACAGAATGCCTCACACAACAAAGGCATATGTTTAATCTTGCTGCTATGCCACTTAGCACAAACAAGCAAGCTGGGTACCAAGTTGTATTATTATTTTAAGTTTTCCAATATTCTGAAAAATGTCCGAAATCAACACACCATAAAGTCAGGTGGTGTTATTGAAATGCAGATTTAAATTATCGAAACTCACTGGTCGACAATGATAAGTTTAGTTTAGCTCCTTCCCAAAGAAGTCCCACTTGTTGTAGCCATAAATTGTGGCGTCTGGTCTCTCCTGGCTCTGTTGGGGAAACCAGACTAGAGCAGCTGTAGGAAAACAGTGATGCAGTAGAATTCTTATCTATTCCCCTTTGGCCAGGCACTTTGCAATGAAGACTTCATTAGGGAAGCTATAGTATCGCTCCGTCCCTGGGCTTTTTTACTTTATGTGCTGTAGATGATTAGTGTTTTTTTTTTTCAGTCTGACATTCTGAAGACCCTCACTTCTTCTTTTTACACTCGTACTGCATTAAGGACAGAAAAGAGCTGATCAGTCGGGCTGTGCTGTGCAGAGTGTGGCTCGTGGCTGCCTGATCGATATCCTGGTGTAACAGTAGAGTCAGACACGTCTGGCTCCAATTTCTGGACACCTGCCTCAGAAGGAACAAGCAGCTGCTTACTGTATGCAGCTCTTCAGCACTTGTTTTAAAAGAGAGAGAGAGAGACTGCTGGCACCATCTGTACACGTCCTTTGTATTCTCCTCTTCATCTTTACACATAGACCGAAGTTCACGTGCTCTGTTTTTGAATGAGAAGGGAACTGCAGATTGGGCTCCTACAGTACTCACACTCTCTTTAGAGCGGAAGAGGTGGTTTATTAAATGTTTTCTTCAGTTAGTCTTACTGCTTGGACTGGCTTTGTTGCTCATTTTGAAGCCTGTCATGTTGGGAGCAGAGTCTCCTCGTTCAGAAAGGGGGGGTGCTACAGGTTTCACCCGTTAAACTCTGATGGTGGCTTTCTTGTACATGCCAGTGAAAGTGCCAGCACTTTTGTTTAGCAGTTGCAGTCTCTTAGCGCCTACAGAGCTGAAGTGACATTCATTATTGATGGTGGGGTTTAAAGTGTTGCAGTAAGGGGTCGTGGTTACTTGACACTGGGCATTAGGCATTCAATTAAAGCACTTCGCTTTGTAAATGCACTAGACAGTGAGGAAAGTGAAATTCATTCAGCTAAATATAACTGGAAACTAAAGGTAACTAAAACATTATTAAGCTACATTCGCCGCCTTTGAAAAGAGGCATTAAGCTTTGGAGTTGATGCTAGGGTTTTTTAGGCACTACAGAAACACCTAATTGCAGCAATATCACTGCGTATTGCTTTTGTCTCTCCTTGTGTGTTGAGAAAGAACTCCGGGTGCCGCGTTTCTGAAAAGGAGGCAGAGAGAGACAGCTGCTTGTCTGCTCATTCAGTGCCTCAGTTCCATTAGCCTGCTGTGTTTTTTTTATTATTATTATCCTCATCATTGTCACGATCTTCATTTGTCAAATGTTTTATGTGCGCATGCATGTGTGCACGCAGGAGACCCTGGTGGCCACCGGATGCCGGTGTGGAACGCCACTTAAGATGACCGATTCCGGTAATTCCGCTGAGTCGGACAGCCGGTGCTGTTCTGACATGGCTGCGAGCGAGTTAGCTACAGCCGCCACAGTCTGGATGAACACGTTGTTTCTCCCGCTCACAGAACTCGAGTGCCGGTACTGCGCATCTCGGGACCCAGGGTCGTTGCCCTCGGCGGCAAATTAAATCTGCACAGACCTTTTCTTCCTCTCTTCCCGTCCCCGTCCCCCCTCCCAAAATAAATAGGGGAAGGTGTCTTTTGTAGCTGGCGCAGTACACATAAAATGTACCGCGGATGAGAAGCCTGAGATTTCATCGAACACTTGCTAGTAGTGTGGTGGCACTAATGGAGCAGCATGTTCAAGCCTGCTCCAGGGTTGGAGCGAACCCTTGTGGTGGAAAAGCGGAAGTGACAACTGTGAGATCACGATGTGCTGCTAATTGTGTGGTCCTCCAAACACACTTCGGTGAATCTTTGCTATGGGCCTTTAGGTATGGTGGTTGAATTCGTTGAGAGCTCCGAAATGCTTTGTTACACAGGAAAAGTTGTGAATATTTGACTTGTTGAAGTCACCGTGAAGAGTGGTGTGGTTATAAAATAATGCTAGTTACTTGAAGAGTTCAACCAGACCTCCTGAAATGCCAAATATGAAGAGAGACGGACAGTTAACTGAAAAATAAATCCAAGAAAAATAAGGTTCCATCAGTTAATTTTTGAACTTGCAGGTCTCACACCAAATTTGTTCGTACTGTCTTTTTCAACATGGAAAGAAATTGCTTGGTTCTCCATGCCCAGCCATGTCCTGTATAAATAACAGTTGTTAAAGTGAACATATGTAGCCCTCATCACCTCATGGTCATTTTCAGCTAAGTGCCATCTAACTCAGTTGTTGGCCACTGAATTATTGTCATCTGCTGAAATTTCTTTGGAGGTGATTAAATTAAAAGGAAAAAATATAGTGTTTCAATTTTCATACAGCAGATATTTCTGTTGAACGGCCATATTCTCAATTAATGGGATGTGTTCTCATGAGCCAGAAAAAACGCCCGTTGAGTCCCGAACGCGTTAACAGAGCAGCAGGAAATAGCCTGCGATGATTCCTCTGGTTTGAGGAGAAGGCTCCGCTGAAGAGAGCAGAGAGCTGTTTGTTCGGCTCGCACCTCCTGGAAGAGCTTCTGAGCACGTCTGTGTCCGTTGCAGCCCTCCTGTCGTCGTGGTGCGAGGAACTGGGGCGTCTCCTGCTCCTCCGTCACCAGAAGAACCGCCAGAACGAGCCTTCAGGGAAACTACCCATGCAGCCCCCCATGAGCTCCATGAAGCCCCCACTTCCACATGGGTGAGTGCCCAGACCAACCTCCTCCTCAGAACCTTCCGCTCTGTCATATCTCTACAGTCTTGTGCGTCAGGAACGAAAGAACGGTCTCGCTGTGGGTCTTGGACATTACCGTGCTCACGCCTCAGATGGGGTTCTGCCGAGCTGCGTGAATACATTTACGTCTTCATGTTAATTAGAAGGCAAAGCTGGGTATTTGTTTGCAGCCACTTTTGTAGTGCATTTTTGTACTTCCAAGCTGTAAATCTGTCCTCCCTTTAAGCGCAAATAATTGCCTTCTGCTCACAAAGGGCAAATGCACTGCAATGAAAAACCCAACCCTATAAAGACAGCAAGCCTGGAAAAAGAAAGCCGAGAACCGTTTCTGCTTTTTGGACCAGACAATGCTTTCCTGTGTTGTAAAAGGCACTTGAGGGGAAATTCACACAAGAGTTGTTTTGCAGAACACTCTGTGCTAGGCAAAACACACTCTTCCCAGAATTAAACCCTGATAAGTACCCAGAAGCTGGTTTGTGAAGGAAGGCTCGAACATCACAAGAGCTCAGGCAGTCAACAAAAAGTTTGTTCTGAGAATGACAGAACCAGCCTCCATCATTAAAAGTTCTGTATTAGGATGTCTGACCAGCTCTTTTATTTATCATCACTGCGCCTTTATTAGCGTGCGCATGTCAGTGAGGGGGTCACAATTTCAGAACTGCAACATTTTGTGCTGTTAATATGATCGCTCCCTGTTTGCTAATGCATTTAGGTCATGTAATATTTTAATTGCTGTCACTGCCTCTGTTAATTGTGGTTTTGTGCATAAAAAAAGATCTACAGGAAAAGTACTTGATCTCTGTAACATCGATTTGATGGTAATTTAGGTCTTGCAGTTATTCATGTTGCTCTGTGCCTGTTCCCTTTTAAAAACTTGTCCTTCTTTGCCATTATGGTTTCTGCACTTCTCTGTTCTTACAAATAAAACTCCGTCAAAATCTTTTTTTTTAATTACGCAGCGATGGGTCCTTTCCTTACGACTCGGTTCCCTGGCAACAAAATACCAACCAGCCCCCTGGGTCTTTGTCTGTGGTAACTACAGTTTGGGGTGTTACAAACACGTCACAGAGCCAGGTGAGACTGGAAAACACATATACAATCCTGTGTGTTTGACTCTTGATTGAAATCTTCCCTTATGAGTTATTGTATCCTGTCCCACCACCTGTTACACACTACACAATTAAATCTTGATTCCTTAATGTCCCCTTTTAGGAACTTTGTTTTTGTGGGAGCATATAAGGAGAGAAAAAGTGTAACATTGTGGAGATCGTTTCATCCTCTGTTTCTGCTTGAAAGGCTCAAGTGTTCCCGCTTAACTGTGTCAAATTAACCAATCTAAACTCTTTTGGATTTGAAATAGGTGCTGGGCAATCCCATGGCAAACGCCAACAATCCCATGAATCCTGGTGGAAACCCCATGGCTTCTGGCATGACTGGAAATAGCCCTGGTATCAGCTCTCCTCAGTTCCCTGGCCAGCAGCAGCAGTTCCCTTCCAAAGGGAGCTCCAGTCAGCCGTACATGCAGCAGGGCATGTATGGACGACCCAGCTATCCCGGAGGGGGAGGGTTTGGGGGCAGGTAAGTGTCTGATTCATCACCCTGAAATAGGGTGTCCCCAGAATACCACACGTACAGAGCACGCTAAACTCAAGGCAAGGAACACAGTCAAAAGCACGTTGTTTTCCAGTCACAGTGGGTGATTAATTGAGCATGACATTTGTTAATACCAAGCTTAGAATAAAAGTTATCATATCTGAAGATAGAGCGTCCTTTGAAGTGCTCTGTAAACCGACGCCACCAAATTCCTCTTTCTTCTTGTAAATATTCAGAAAGAAACAAATTGCACCAAGTGAAAGGGTTTAAGACTCCAAGCAAACCCCTAATCAGTTGTTTAATACAACGGCCCACGTTCTTTGACCAGTCAGAGAGCCATCATATTGTCAGGTCGCCTTTCTCACGTTGATACGGGTTTGCTTCACGAATGGCCGCAGAGCCTCTTTCCCACATGTCAGTCTTGTTGCTGTTGTCTTTCCTCGCAGCTACCCAGGAGGTCCCAATGCCCCCGCTGGTATGGGCATCCCCCCTCACACCCGGCCTCCCGCGGACTTCACTCAGCCCGCCGCTGCAGCCGCCGCCGCCGCCGTCGCGGCCGCCGCTGCCACGGCAACCGCTACCGCCACCGCCACTGTGGCAGCTCTGCAGGAAACCCAAAACAAGGACATGAACCAGTACGGGCCGGTAAGGCAACGGCTTCGCACACTAAAGCCAGATGCAGGACTCCGTTAAAACTCTGGTAGCACATCCGAATGGCAGTTATCCATTCAACGGCAGAAGAATTTAGGCCTTTTTGGGTTCGTTTTACAGCAGCTGTTTGCCCCCTTTCCTGATTGGCGTGCTGGCTTGCTGTGATATGACCACAAGCTGGACGCTTTATATGAGCTAGGCTGGTTTGAAGTGGTACATTACAATTACAAGAGCAGTACATACACTTGGACTATAAAACCCTGACTGGGGATGAGTGTAACTCCTCAGACATGCAGAAACCCCAGAAGAATGTATACTTTCTAGATTAAGTAGATAAGGTCTGAATTGCATTGTTTGTCTTAATTGAGTAAATCGGCTGTAGTGCCAGAGTTGCTGAGCAACACTTAAAACTAAACTCCAAACATAAGAGCCGTAAACACCGCTACAAGATCAATGCTATAAGATCAAATAGCTTGGATGATATCAATCCAACTACTGCCTATTTCAGAGTTCTGACAAAGTATGTCTTGATGTTTTGCCAATCACTTCATTCAAACGTCATAATGTTGGCAATTTTAGAGAGAATCTATAATAAACATTCGACTTTATCTTTCCTTAGTGAAAATACATTAACACCTCTTGTACACATACAAAAGCCTATGAAAATGCATCATCACATCTGACAGCTGTTTTCATCACAGCTCATTCCTCCTGTAGGATTCTGCTACATGGCCATTAGAGTATTCAAAAAGGTGATCCATTAAATAAACAGCTTTTTGTCTGGAATCAAAACTCATTGAGCAGAGAAAACAAGGTTCCAGTTGTGACACTCCATGTTCTCAGCTCTAACTCAGCCTCCTTTTCTCTTCCAGATGTGTTCCTCTTTCCAGATGGGACCAACCCAGGCCTATAATAACCAGTTCATGAACCAGCCTGGGCCCCGGGGTCCCCCTTCCATGCCAGGCAACATGAACCCTGCCAACATGGCCACAGGCATGAACGCTTCCAACATGAGTGGGCCTCCCATGGGCATGAACCAGCCCCGACCCCCGGGGATGAGCCCCTTTGGGGGTCATAACCAGAGGATGCCCCAGCAGGCCTACCCAGGCCCCAGACCTCAGTCCATGCCTATGCCAGGGATGAAAAGGCCTTATCCTGGAGAGGTGAGAAGACATGGCGCGCACACAGCTAAATTCTCTTTCTCAGAGTCTGTATGCAGTCTCGTGAAATGTCAGCTGATCAATTCTTCTTTTTCCATTTGTTTGTGTAGCCAACATATGGAAGCCAGCAGTATGGACCAAACAACCAGTTTCCTAACCAGCAAGGACAATACCCCACCCCCAACCCTCCCAGGCCACTGCCATCCCCCAACTACCCTGGCCAGCGAATGCAGGGTCAGCAGAGCGCAGGGCAGTACCCCCCGCCCAATGTGGGCATGGGCCAGTATTACAAGGTGAGCTCCGGTGCCCAAGACGCTCTTCACAGACATGGGCCGCACTGTTAAAACAGATTCATTGAGGTTTTCGATTCTAAAGGATTTAGTGAGTTGCTCCTCTTGGATTGGCACAAGCATGGTTTATATAATAACTTAAATTTAACAGTGTGCAAACATTTGGTCCTTTTTCACCAGATTAAGTCATACAACTGCCTTGTGTAAACCAGCTATCAGGTTCCAATTTGTAATAGACCCAGCAAATACAAAGAACTTACTTCAGATAAAATACCAGTAAATACAATATTAAGCCAAGAAGCTGTTGAGGGCAGTTTCCATGCAGACATTGTATTTATTGTTTTTTTATCTCCATTGTTTCAGCAAGAGCCATTCAATGGTCAGAATAACAACTTCTCTGGAAGTGGATATACATACACTCAAGGCAGTCTGAATGGGGTACGTCTGATGTCTAGTTTTTTGCTATGGTAAAATTTGTTCTGGAAGTGGGGTTATAGAAGGCTAAAATGCAGTTTGCATGCTTACGTAATCATCTAATAATGCTTTATACAGCAACAGCTACTTGGCATAATGCAATATTACTTAAGGATAGAAAATCACAGCTTAATGCTCTGATATTCTTAGAAGACTTTTTTTTTCTTCTTGAAGAACTGAGAATTTAATTTGTTTTGTAGCCTCCGAGGCCTGTAGGAAACTACCCCCACTCGCCTGTACCAGGAAACCCGACCCCTCCCATGACTCCAGGAAGCAGTATGCCGCCATATTTGTCGCCGAATCAGGACGTCAAGCCACCATTCCCACCAGAAATTAAACCAAATATCACCGCTCTCCCTCCTCCTCCAAGTGAGTCCCATTGTGTTCAGATGCAGATGAGCCATGACATGATGCTGTTTTATTACCCTGGAAAAAGGTGTCATTTTGCTGAAAGAAATTGTCTGCGTAACGCAAAGAACAAATTGTGTTTGAAAACCTGAAGCGAAAGATGTCCAAAACAGTTTCCACAATTGAGCTGTGCCCATCCAGAAAAGCTTTAGTTCACCTTGAGAGCTGGCACTTTCAAGTTACAGTTTTTAAAACTTTAGTCTTGGAACATACAGCTTCAAAGCTGCAGATACGTAGTGTAGACAAGGTTAGTAGGCCCGGTGTGATGTCCTCCTTGCTTTTGTTGACGGTCTCTTTAAACTTGATGAAAAAAGAAAAGTAAATGACTCAAGCAGGTACCAGTAGGAAAGGCACAGGCAGTGTTATTCCCTGAACTCCAGTTGCAGCCCATACCATGTGTAAGTTTTTTTTTTGTTGAGTTGTGTAAGAGCGCAAATTAAAATCCGCACTGTTATCGCACTGCAGATGCAAAAGGGAAAGTTCACACTTTCTCTCCCTCTTCGATCCCAGCCAACCCCAACGACGAGCTCCGGCTGACGTTCCCTGTGAGGGACGGTGTGGTATTGGAGCCCTTCCGGCTGGAGCACAACCTGGCGGTCAGCAACCACGTCTTCCACCTGCGGCCGTCTGTCCACCAGACTCTGATGTGGAGGTGGGCAGGCTCACAGCATGACCAACAGCCTTTATTCTCTATCTATAAAATGCAGCAAGTGCTTCTCAGAAGTACAAAAAGACTTTTACACGTGCGGAGCAAAAACCAGCACTGAAATTGAAAATGTCAGGCATTATACTTATTAGCTGAAGAAATGTGGAACTGATCGGAAGATGAATGTCCTCTCCCTATTGTTATTAATCTTTTTTTTTTCTGGTGCTTCTATCTGAAGCAACTTAAATTTATACGGATTTATACAGCCAGGTAATTTACTGAGCCTCAGTTTTTGATTGCTTCAGTTTACTGAAGCAATCTAAGGAAGCACCCTGCTCAAGTGCACAAGAGTGGAGCCTCACCCAGCATTTCAACCAGCGATGCTCCAGTTACGAGTCCAGGGCCCCGACCACTGTTCCACTCAATAGATATGAATTGGGTTCATCAAAATCAGAATCCCTTTCCCCGCATCTCCTCATGTAGCTAAGATTGTATTTCTGATATTTTTTAAATTCTCTGTGCTGTGTGAGTTCAATATCTCTTTTGTCATTTGTGCCACAGGTCAGACCTGGAGCTCCAGTTTAAGTGTTATCATCACGAAGACCGGCAGATGAACACGAACTGGCCAGCGTCGGTGCAAGTCAGCGTAAATGCCACGCCACTCACTATTGAGCGAGGTGACAACAAGACTTCCCATAAACCCCTTCACCTCAAGCACGTGTGTCAGCCGGGAAGAAACACGATTCAGATCACTGTCACGGCCTGCTGCTGTGTAAGTACAAGAGTTGGAATGTTATACCAGGAGGATTCTTAGTTTATTGAAACAGGAGGCATTTTCACTAGTATGTAATAATCCAAAGTCATATCTGTTTAACTTTTTTCAGTGCAGAACTGACATTGATATATCTTAGGTGCTCAACAGCAGCTGGCAAAGGCCTGCATTACATACATGGAGCATAACATTCAGATAACAGTTTTGAGATGTTTAAGATTAAAGGTAGATCTGAATCGGTTGAAAGTGTAAGCAACGCAGGGAAACTTTTTGGGTCAGCGGTCTCCTGTGTGCTGGTGGACAGCCTTGGCACTAATCGGATGTTTGTCTCCATTTTCCATCTCGCCCGCAGTCGCACCTGTTTGTGCTGCAGCTGGTTCACCGGCCCTCCGTCCGCTCTGTCCTCCAAGGCCTGCTGAAGAAGCGCCTGCTGCCCGCCGAGCACTGCATCACGAAAAGTAAGCTGGCTCTCTCCCGCCTGGACCGTGCAGCGCCAGAACCGCCGCTTTCCGCGTTCGCAACTGCCCGCGTTTCAAAATCCAGAGCCCTGACCACTGTTCCACTCGGCTGATATGAATTAGGTTAATCAAAATCAGGATCCTTTCCACGCATCTCCTCATGTATTGTATTTCTGATATTTGTAATACTCTTTGTGCCGTTCAGTTCGGTGTCTTTTTGGTTGGTAATTTGTGTCGCAGGCCAGAGCTCCAGTTTAAGTGTTGCCATCATGAGGACAGGCAGCTGAAGATGGGCACCCTGCCCATGCACTCTGGGAAATCACTAACATGGCCTCTTCCGCCTCTTTTCCCTCCCTCCTGCAGTAAAGAGGAACTTCAGCAGCGTAGCAGCATCCTCGGGCAACGCCACACTAAACGGGGAAGACGGAGTGGAGCAGACGGCCATCAAAGTGTCTCTAAAGTGTCCCATCACCTTCCGGCGGATTCAGCTTCCAGCAAGAGGCCACGACTGTAAACACGTACAGGCAAGTGATTTTGTTAAGAAGAACTGTGGACAGATGTATGATGAAGCTGGAGTTACTATCAACAGAATGATAACTTGAGACAGTTGAGCGTTTTCTTTTTGCTTGCTAATTCATGTATTGTAAAACTCCAAACTTTTTCTCAACAGTGTTTTGATTTGGAGTCCTACTTGCAGTTGAATTGTGAACGAGGAACATGGAGGTGTCCTGTATGCAAGTAAGAAAAAAATACTTTACTAAATTACAGTAGATCATAAAGTGTCAACAATTAATTCTTACACAGAAAACAGAGGTCTTTATTATTTTGTTTGAATGAGTAAATGTGTTGGAACTGTAGGCCTTTATTTTAATCCATGAGTCACAAACCACAAGCAAGATTTTATGAAATATCATAGAGGAAGAGATAAATGAAATCCCCAATTTAGCACATTTTCACAGAAATCAGTCTTGTTTAGCAGCACTTGGAGTTTAAAACTGGACATGTCATTGCGTTGTGTGATAAGAGACTCACTGAATGCCTGAGGGATTTTGGCTGGGAGAAACAAGCAGAAGAACAAATCATGATTGTTTGTTTTCTCCCCAGTAAAACTGCACTACTAGAGGGCCTGGAGGTCGACCAGTATATGTGGGGCATCCTGAATGCCATACAGAAGTAAGTTTTCATGTTTTCACAAACGTGTACTTTTCACAAGTGCTTAGCTTTTTTTCTCTTCATACTCTGTTGTCTTCTCTCCTAACTGTACCTAAAGTTTTAGTATAGTGTGTTTTACAAGGAAGGCAGAGAAGTAGTATGTATAGAAATATTCTTGCATTTTTTCTTAGCATCCTAACCAGGCACTTTGCAAAAATGCTAGATTGATCATGATAAATGATTAAAACTAGCCTTAAAGCCTGTCTTTCATCATCCTCACAAAGGTGGTGTTCTTAGTGACAGTCTTTTCCCTTTATTCCATCTTTTGTTATGCACTATCGGCTCTAAGTTCATAGTTTGCATTTTAAAACATACCAGAGCCTGCAGAGAATGTCACTATGTGCTCTGGGTCAATCGCTCCCTGCTCTCTCTCTCAGTTCAGAGTTTGAGGAGGTCACCATCGATCCCACGTGTAGTTGGAGGCCGGTGCCAATCAAATCCGACATGCACATCAAAGAAGACCCGGATGGACCTTTGGCCAAGAGGTTCAAGACCATGAGCCCCAGCCAGATGATCATGCCCAATGTAATGGAGATGATTGCCGCCCTGGGGCCAGGTCCCTCTCCATACCCATCGCTACCTCCTCCACCTGGGGGCAACAGCAGTGAATACGGCAGCCAGGGTAGGAGTCAGGAGCACACCCATCCTCGAGCTTCCTGTTTCTATATCTATTGTTGGTGAAATTTGCAGAATGTGTTTATCTATTTCTTGTTCTCAGTACCTCCTGTCTACTTCGTAATGAATGAAACTGTATCACATTTCAAAAGCCCTTCAATAGGCCGTGCTAACTGTGCTGAGTTCTTTATTGATAACAACCCATCTGAAGATCCACCCGGCTAATAGCTTAGATTGCACAGCAGTACAGCAGTAGAAACAAATGTGCTCAAAGTGTTGGAAAAAACATGAAGGAGGATTTTTGCAATTTGATTAACAAAACAAGAGGTATGTCCATCACACATCCCTCCTGTAGCAATTCCTGTACTGTATTGGGTGAGTGAGGCCCCATGTACTCTCGTTCCTGACACAATGAGGTATTGCTCTGAAATGTATTCATTGAGGACACGTGTTTGTTAAATGGACTCTGTTGCAGTGCGATAAGAGATAAGAGAGAAGATAAGATCACTTTATTGGCCATATACAATTTCTTGTATTAGGAATTTGTCTTTTCGCTGTCTAGGTTTGCTCTCCATGAGACATACCAACAGGGAGAGAACCTTGGGGACAGAGATCAGCCATTTATAGGGTGCCCCTGGAACAGTTGGGTTAAGGGCCTTGTTCAGGGGCCCAACAGTAGGATTCATCTGCCGGCCACGGGATACGAACTGGCAACTTTCCAGCCACAGGCCCAGATCCTTAGCCACAAAGCCACCGCACCGCGCACAATGAGGTTGAGGTTGTTGTAGGGGTTTATCTACTGGTTTAATTGCAGCCTTTGTTTTCGGTTCCAGGCAACAGTTACCAAGGGCATGGAAATTTCGACTTCCCCCATGGAAACCCTGGTGGAACATCGATGAACGACTTCATGCATGGACCACAGCTGTCTCACCCGCCTGACATACCTAGCAGCCTTATGAATCCAGACAAGCCACTCAGCCACAACATGCCTGACACCGTAAGTGATATTCCCCCTCAATGCTGACCTCAGCCTAGACAAGAGGACAGAAAGTGGACAACATTTTGGCAAGGAAACCATTTTCACTCCGGAAGTTCAACTTTTCTCCATCTTCTTCTGCAATCAGGTTGAAAGGCATGCAGACATGCTGGAAAGGCTGGAAAATAATTCAGACACACATCCATCCTGCACTTGCATCGTGCAAGCTTTAGCATCTATATATATGTCAAATATTCCAGGTTACTGCACCCTTACAAAACAGCGACCATTCACAGGAAGTAAGGCTTCATTAATGTAAAGCTCAAGTTCTCATATGGACAACACAATAAGACGTAAATGGGTTTGATTGAACTGATCACTGAAGAGGATAATAAGATTCCACTAATAAGGAAATAAACCCCAGCTCTCATTTTGCTTTTTCTCCAATGTGCTTGTATTCAGAATAAAAACCATTAAAAACTTCTCATGGCAGCTGTCTGGTATATACTGGGCAATTCCCTTTCCTCATTGGTTGGCCATGATTTCAGGTGATCCTAATGGCATGATGGTTAGTGATCTCCCTAGTTTTCCTTGGCTCTTCCTGCGCAGGGGCCTCACTCTTCTCCTGCTCTTCCTCTCCCGCAGATTGCTCACCCCGGCAGCGCTGATCAGTCCCATAGCTCCATGCAGCAGGGTTTGCACGCCCCTCCTCACCCCAGCAGCCAATCAGGGCAGCCATTGCATCACAGCGGTCCTCCTCAGCCATCACGGCCGCCACCGCCACCCCAGCCCGGGCCAAACAGCCATCCTCACAGTGACCTGACCTTTAACCCCTCGTCTGCCTTAGAAGGTCAGGCTGGGGGGCAGGGAGCCCCTGACATGCCGGAGCCCTCTCTGGATGTAAGTGTTACTGCGCCCTTCTCACGCCTGGCCTCCATGCAATCTGCGCAGACCTTCAGCAAACAAACCCTGATGCAGCTCATCTCATTGCTTCATGTGCGGCTGCATGCAACCCTTTCAGCTTTTGAGCTCATTGTGCACCTTAACAAAATCTCTGGACCTCTGCTGCTTAGTGATGCTTTATTAATCATCTGCTGTTCTGCTCTCTTTCTGGTGTTCACAACATGGGAGAAATATAAACCCAATATTCCACCGAAAATAATAAGCAATGACCGCTGAAATCTTGAGCACTCAGTTATGTATTTTAGATTAAGATTGGGAGGCAAAGCAAAGCATTTTTAATATGTCAGTTCTCTTTGCCATTTGTGATGCAGAATAGAGACTGGAGAATCTAGTTTCATATTCACGTAGGAAAGTTAGATTTTCTTTTAAAAAAACTCATTGGTAAAAGAAATTTGGCAAGACAGTGTGTCTTAAAGCCATTACAGCCATGCTTTTTTGCACATTCAGTCTGTCAGTTTGGGTAGAGAAGAGGATACAGCACAATGATACGTGACCAGGAGGGTGCCCCTGTTCATGGACAGATCTTTCTGGGGATTGACAGTGGTGCCGTTTGATCCGTCAGAGTCATCTCCCCTGCAATTAGAACACTTAAACCAGCGTTACACACAAGTTGTAAACCAAGCAACATGTCTGCCCTTGAGCTTTGTCCTGAAATATTTAACTGAATGGTTGAATCGTTCCTGTCTAAGTGAATCAAAGATGTTCAGTGAGGTTCAGTTCCCTGATTTGAAAAGGGTAGTTTTTTGTGTGATTCTGTATTAAATTTGCATTCTGAGGATGATCCTATAATTTAAGTACTCAAAAGCTTAAATTTCCCTATTCTTTGGTTCATTTGTTTGTGTGTTTGAGTTTATAATTTACAGGCTATTGTTTAAAAATGGGCATTAAAAATATTCATCACAAACGTATTAAAAAAATCAGAATTGTGGAAGGAAATTATACAAAGAGACACCCAGAGCAGCAGTGTAAGTAGGCTCCAGCAAGTTACTTCACTCCAATAAAATACCCAGCCCTATAAAAAGGATAAGTGCCAATGTAAGCCACTTTGGATAGAGGAATCATCTGTGTAAATGAATGGTAACATCCATGTGAAAGTTGTTCACCGCCGTTAAAGCGAGGTGTGTTTCTTTCCTTGCAGCTGCTTCCAGAGCTGACCAACCCAGACGAGCTGTTGTCCTACCTGGATCCCCCTGACCTCCCGAGCAATAGCAACGATGACTTGCTCTCCCTCTTTGAAAACAACTGAAGCTTCTGCCCCCGAAGGCCCGTTCAAGCTGGCTGGTGTCAGCCCCCAGTCCGAACAGGAGCTCAGTACCCGACGAAAACAGAGATGCACTCCCTTACTCTTCTTCCTCTATGAATGATCTGGTCAGCCAGCTCCACGTGACTCAGAGTTGTGGTCAACACACACACAAACACAGAGGTGACAGTCCTGTCAGCTGCCTATTTGTCATCTGTGAACATTAAGAAAAACTGTGCAGCTATATTCAGCTCATTTTATGTCGCATAGAGAGATTTCGTTGTGTACTTTAGGAAAGTGTTGTAGCATTTTTTGTTTTGTTATTTTTAAATCATTTTAACTAAAAACATCTGCCCATCCTGGCCAGTGTCTTGAGATCCCTTTGAACTTTGTTCTTCCATTCTTTGAAACTGTGGCTTCCCAAGACATCCAACTAAATAATAGTATCACTGGTCCCTGCTGTGAGCACCATTTAAAAGCACAAGCGGTTATACACAATTCAAAACTGATTCTCAAAGGGAAGAACACTTTTTAACACAGTCAACAAGAATTGCCCATTTATTTTCTATATGTGGGCCACACAAGGTACATTTGAAGATTTTTTTTATAATGTTCCCCATGCAAAGAATTCACAAAGAAGTTCTTTGACACACTTCAAATGTTAAAATCCTCTCATAAGCATTGGAATCTCATTCTCATTTTGATGCAGATAAGGGAAAAGCAATCGTTTTGAAAGAGTAAGTGTTTTGCTTTTTTGTTATGTTTTTTTTTGTGTGTGTGTTTTCAAAGAGACAAAACACCCCATCTTCACTGCGCAAAAGATGACAGTCGGGAACACAGGGTGGGGCAGTAGTTCCTTGTCTTGGAGGGCAAGTGAACTTTTACCTCCGATCAGGTTCTGTGATTAGCTGGAATAGGCATTTAAACCCCAAACAGAAACGAAAATGCAGCTTTTTTTGTACAAGACTGTTACATAGTAGCCTAGCTGCTATCTCAACCACCCAGGAGAGTTGAAGTGAAATAAACAGCGAGAAGATGAAATAGACATAATAGGGATATTATTCCTGCCCTGTTAGCCCTCTATGCCAGAGTCTCTGTACTGCAGCCTTAGTTAGTGCTTCTCTTATGTGGTCTCCTCTCCTGCATGAGCCTCAAGTTGCTCCCGTGCCCATTGTGTGACCTTTGTCTCTCTCCTTGATGAATTATGTACAGTAAGTCGTATAAAAAGTGCATGTGTGCCAATTTTGCCCTTGTTAAGTGATATTCTGAACTAAGACAGTGTGCTTTTTCATCAATGACTTTAACTGTAGAACACGTTTTAAAAGAAAAAAAAACACTAACTTTTCTCAGAAGGGATTAATTTCTGGTATTTGCGACGTATTGTTCATTTTTGGAATTATGATTATTGTTGCTGTTGTTATAATTTTATTTTGTCTGTTCTTTTGTTCTGTTCTTTCTGTGCTGCAAAGGTTCATCATTGAGATCACCCTTGGGAAATTGCTTTATATCACCAAAGTTATCTTTGTAACATTTTGGGGTTTTACTCTTTTATTACAAAGATGTTTTTTAAGAAAAACGAACACAATCCACCACTGCTGTAGATGCATTAATACTGGGTGGTCCCCAATATTTCTGTAGATATTTTTCAAACAGTTGATTGTCTTTTTATTTCTGGTAGCAGTATTGGAACTGTAAAAGTCATGTAGAGACATTGCCATTTTGATTTTCTATTTCAAGGTTTAACAGAAAAGCGCTGTTCAGTATGCAAATTTATTATTTTAAACAAAAAGGCTATTGTAAATACCTTTGTGAATATTTTAGTATTGTCTTTGATAATATTAATCATCTTCATGATTGTTCATTGTTGTTATTCACTACTTGTCTGGTAAACTGTTTCCCCTTGACAGAAGTCCTAAAGTATAATCCATCTGAAAAAAATGTTTCCATAAGCTATTTGGTAAAAGTTTCTTTTCTTATTTCATGTTTTTTTCATACCGAACTACAACAGTAGAGCTCATGGAAATTGGCAGGCAGGTGTATTTATGATCTTCAACTATTGCTAAAAAGAAAGAAGAAAACCATAAGAGTTTGGTATAGTTTTATAGAATAAAAGCCTTACATTTTCAGAATAATTAGTGATATTCACGAGACAGAGGTGTTGGACGTTACACAATTGTAATCTTACTGTCACCCTCTTGTCTAATTATAAGACTTTTCATTTTTCATAAAGAGCTATTGGTTTCGGAAACTGTGGTATCCTTTTGCTAAATATATTAATTACAGAATTGGAAATATGATGGCAGCAGAATTGACCTTACAATTCATTGACTAATGTGATATTTTAAAAGAATGTTACAGCCTTTCATTTAAATAAAATCTATGTAATGTTATTTTATTAGTGTTCTAGAAAATAGAGCTTTTTAAAAGCTGAAAACCATTTAAATTTTATATCTCATATGACAGATTGCATATGATTTTCTGTTTTTTTACATAATATTTTGTAATGAAATGCAAGGCTTGTAATATTCATTTGTGGCCAAAAGCATACAGTACGTATTTAAAAAAAAGAATCTGGAAAAGGATCACATTAACCATTTGAAATCATACAACGTGAACGTACTGGTCATTTACGTTTTGAAGAACAGCATGGTAAAGATATCTTATTGGTGCTCACTTTATTAAGTGTAAGAAACCTACTCTGTAACCATCTTTAAGGCAAATGAATGGTCTGATTTTTTGAAGAAATGCACTGCCACATTGCTTTATGTATATGTATAATTTTACATATGCTCACATTGAAGTATGAGCCTTTTCCATGTGATCAGCCCCTGCGCACTGTAGTTGCACAGTCGTGTGTCTACAGGAAGGTCTGAGAAGAGAACCCTGGAGGGTTGCCCCCCCCCCAGAAGAGTGGACTGAGCTGCAAGACCCTACCATGCTGCAGTGGGGGAGGGGGGGTGGAGGGATGTCTGTACATATGTAAATGATGAATAGAGACTTGTTAACAGAAATGTATTCATTTTCCTTGGGAATGTGCATTGTTTCTTTAGAATTAAAAAAAAAGCTTGCAAACCCCTATCAGAAGTGACTCGATGTGGAAAATGAATCTTGTTTGTTAGCATCTGTGGAATCTCTCAGCATTTGTTCACCTATGTAATATACTTTAACCTCTCTTTTGAGGGGGACTGAAAAAAAAACAACCTTTGTTTTACCTACATGTAATATTTAGCCTACGTGTATTAGTCTATCACCTGTGTATTTTTAAGGTGCTACAGAAAAATAATAATGAAGAAAATACTGGGAGACAGAGGGAGGGGTGGGGAAGGGAGGGGGTCCCACAAGATTGTAACCAAATCCATAGTTTGTACAATTTTTGATATCATGATCAGACAAAAACGAAAAAAAAAAATTAAAAAGGTACAATCTGAGGCGATACATGCAAAAGTGACCATTGTCTTTTTGTTTGTACATTATGTACAATCATTTCATATTCTAAACTGGTCAGAAAAAAACTAATTGTGATTTTTAGTCTTGCAAAACTGTATGTAGTTAGATGATGTGACAACCTAATATTTATCTAATAAATATGTATTCAGATGAAACCTGTACATCGCAGTGCACATGTGGTTCTTTGTGTTCGTACAACTTAATACTGCTCTCACGTTCCAAGTGCAGTAACGTGAACTTTTGCAAAACTATCTGGTAAGTCAGTTCAGTGCGGTGCAGATTTTAGTTTTGTGGTGCCTAATACCTACCAGATACATAATGACAAAAAAATAGACCTGGTATGGTTTTATTATGGTTGGGATAATTATTAAATCGTTAAACTTTTCAGATGTTGTCAGCGATACGAGGGTATGTAATCTGATACTTTTGATAAATCGTCAGTTCTGCTGTAAGCAAAAAGAGCAGGTTATGTATCTGAGCTGTGGGCCATCTACCTTTTCACAGTCCTGCTCCATCAAGATTGTTTCTGCTACTGTCCTGACTCTTGAAAACCTATCTGTGAGACACCTGACATGCTTGAAGGCTGTGAAAGTATTATAAGAAGTAGTGGTTAGGACAAAAATACCATCAGAACAATAATAAGCATTAGGACTAGCCATTAAGGATTTTCTGTGCTCTTGTATGCTAAAACTGATCGACATTTGTTTCCATTTTATCATTATTGTTAAATCATTATTGAAATTAAGGGGGGGAAAAGATAATTGAGAAGTTATCTGAAAACACTTTACTGTCATGAATTCCATAATAAAGTCACAAAGGTAAAAAAAAAACATTTAGAAAGAATATAACTGATAAAAAGGCCTTTCTAAAAAGATTGTATTTCGGACACTGTAGACTCAATGAAAGTACAAATACTGAGCACAATTAAATATAGAAAAAGTATAAACCATCTTAATTCTTCAGTCCATTAATTAATTTAAATCATCAGCTGTTGGGGACGATATGAAGAAATGTTTCCGGTCACGATGAACACAACGGACTCCCCTCTCTGCTGCTTCCTCCTTCCTGGTGTGTCAACTCAACTCAAGAGGGAAAATAAAAATGATATCCGCTCTCTATTTTTATATAAAAGTATAACTGCAGTAATTTTTTATAATAAATGCAATAGAAAACAGATTATGAAGCCACATAAGGAATGTTCCTGGCTCCTGCTGAGAAAGTTGACCGGTGACACCCTCTGACCCCTAGGCTGTGATAGGCGGTTACACACTGTCTCGCCTCAATCCAACAGTGCCATCTGGAATATAGATTTCCGATTAAGGACACACACCTTCCCGGGTGCCTCAATATTTGGCGCAGGGTAGAAGAAAGTGCAGCTCTGTCTCTACTTTTCTTGCTGTGAGCGGGTACACAACCTGTTGCTATACCCAGGCTACAGTAAAGCTAGCAACCATATCACCCTGCAACTCACAACTAGCAGCCCACTGAAGCTCAGCAGGTGTGAGCCTGGTCAGTACCTGTATTAGAGACCTCCTGGGAAACATTAAGGTTGCTGCTGGAAGAGATGTTAGTGGAGCCAGCAGGGGGGGCTCACTCTGCAGTCTGTGTGGGTCCTAATGCCTCAGTATAATGATGGGGGCACTATACTGCAAAAAGGCGCCGTCCTTCGGGTGAGATGTAAAACAGAGGTCCTGACTGTCTGTGGTCATTAAAAAAATTCCATGGTGTTTCTTGAAAAGAGTAGTGATGTAACCCTGGCATCCTGGCCAAATTTCCCCATTGGCCATTACCAATTTTGGCCTCCTAATAATCCTCATCTATGAACTGGCTTCATTACTCTGTTCTCCTCCCCACTAATTGCTGGTGTGTGGTGAGTGTACTGGCACACTGTGGCTGTAGCATAATCCAGGGGCTGAACATTGGTGATGTTGGATGGGATCTCCATTACCTGTGAAGCACTTGGAGTGTCCAGAAAAGTGCTATATAAATGTAAGGAATTATTATTTATTAATTATTAAATGAATCTCTCTTCTCTGAACAGATAGGCCTGCCTGTTTTGCCCAGGTTCAATGGCTAGGCTGTGGTCCCTAAGCCTGTAATTAATCACAAGCTGCTTATGGTATCTCACCCTGGTCAGATACTCACACAAATCCTACTCTGTTCCACAAGTTCAAGAACAACTAGGACAAGGCCAGCCAGCTCAATGGACTTCAGAAGTGAAACGCTCGTGAGAAAGCAGAGGAGTGTGGGTATACTGGTGTGAGTCTTGCTATTAAATGTGTTATTTAATCACCTGAAGTGCTTTTTTGTACTAAACCTGACGTGAACAGCTATTATTGCACTGGGTACGGATAAAAAGTACACAGGGGCTCTCCATATCCCACAACTCCCCACGAGAAGGAGAACGGAAGAATAACTTTGACAGCGGAGACCTGAACTTGAGACTTCCTGTAGCGGTACTTTGTACTCAGACACCCGGAACGTTGCAGTTGCTGCTACGATGTCGGTTTTAATGAGTCGCCTGATAGTTCACTATAATTCCAGTATTAAATTAGGTGCTTTAGCATTCGCAGCAACTAGGATGTACACCGCCCAACCAAAAAAGAACCCGGTGGTGTACTTTGACATTGCCGCAGACAACGAGCCCCTCGGAAGAGTCACCTTCGAGGTAAGAAGTCCTCTGCTGCACCTGTGGCAGAATTTGGTTTCGGCGTGTCTCGTGATTTAGTGATTAAAAGTGAACAGGGCAGACTAAATTTTAAATGTCAATTTATGAAAGCTACCTTAAAAATGTCGGCTTTTGTATTGCCGTTGCAAACCTTTGCATACAATATTTCAACTTGAGCAGCGGCGAATTGTCTGGACGTTTGTCTGCGAACAAGAGAGGAATTTTCGCTTTGCGGAAAGGAGAACCGTAACTGATCTGGAGTTATACGTTTGTGTTCTTGAAATGAATGAGAATAAAATGTCCTTTCCGCCGTTCTCACCTGTGCACCTAGCGCGACCTGTTATGAGACGATAGTCATCTGTCTCCTATCAGTCGTGATGTCTGATTCTGTGCTCTAGATCAGCAGTTCCGAGCCCTGGTCCTGCAGGAACACTGTATTTGTTGGTTTTCATTCTAACTGAGCTTTACAGCCCCAGTGCTAATTGATGACTTTAATCACCTTTTACTTATTTAGATATTTATTTAATAAATTATAATTGGTTTCTTCTATGAGTCCTCAGTGTAAAAACACTCCTCACTTCAAGGGTAGTGATTCTAATAAGTTAAGCATACAAAACTTCCCTCGGCATGTGCTCAGCTTTCTGGCCGTTACTTCCGATTAAAACGATCTAAAACATCGATGTTGAACAGACCCGGGCGGAAATGACACTGTATCAGAAGTGTCTGAATAGATACCTGAATGAGCGTAGTCCTGAAACTCTGACACTGGCGCAGGATTGAAACCAGTTACAGACTTCACCCTTAAATTCCATTTGACCTTGTAAAAGCTGAAAGCAATTTTGGGAACACCCCAAACAGGAAACAATGAACATCTTGGTTAAGAATTCAGCTGGAGCATAAACCAGAAGACACTGTTCCTCCAGGACTAGGGCTGGAAGCCACTGACTTCAGGAACTGGAGTGTGGTCATTCTCCACATGTTTGACTTTAATATGTATGCTACTATGTCAAATTAAATACAAGCATGTATTCCTTTATCCAGTATGTTAGATACTTTTTATGTTGTCATTAGCTGCGTGCACTGTGTGTGTAATTTAGCAACAGGGTGGTGTAATGCCTCTGGCTATTTACATCTATTTCACAGAACACGATGTGAAGTATATTTTATACTTTTTTAAAGTTGTATAATTTTATTCTACAAATATCCTGTATGCCTATATATTGGGCTATATACAGTAGGTAATGTGGCTTCTAATACAATCCCCAGACACATGCCATTATATAAACATTTCTGATTTAAAAAAAATATCACATTCTAACTCAGATGTGAATGAAAAGTGTGGATGCTTATGGAACTAAAAACTGTATTTTAACAACAGTCTGACAAAACTAAACGGAGTACACGCACAGGCCTTTGGTTGTTAAAACTGTTCCTAATGAAATGTATCTGGATCTTCTTTTGCAGCTCAATGCTGATGTGGTCCCTAAAACAGCAGGTGGGAGTTCTCCTAGAGGATGAAACTTTTTAAGGTGTTGTCATGGATTTTCCGCATAGTCAGTTTTGTCTCCTTCATTTGTCATAGAGAACTTCCGAGCCCTGTGCACAGGGGAGAAAGGATTTGGGTACAAGGGATCCACATTTCATCGGGTGATTCCTCAGTTTATGTGCCAGGTACAGATGTTTTGTTCTTTTGCCTTTTCTGCTGGGCACAGTTCCTGAAGTGTAGACGTCGGATGAGGGCAGACCTGTTCGGGGCTGGCATCTCTAGTTTCTTCTGTAATCGTGCTGCCACAAAGATTGAAGTCAGGAACTATGAGCGAAGTCTTATGCTTTAGCCTCCAACTCCGTTACATTTGTTTTCAATGCAGTTGGAAGGTCCTGTTTATAATGTGCTCTGTTGTGTTACATTTGTTTTCAATGCAGTTGGAAGGTCCTGTTTATAATGTGCTCTGTTGTTTCTTCTCGGGTGTAGGGTGGTGATTTTACCAACCACAATGGCACTGGAGGGAAGTCTATCTATGGGCCCAGATTCCCAGATGAGAACTTCATATTGCAACACACAGGACCTGGTATTGTGCCGATTACTTCAGTCCCGTGGATTGTACTGACGCATGGTAGACAGCACATCAGGAGATTAGGCAGTGATCTGAAATGAGTTTCAAATCCTTCTGAATTCCAAGTCCAGTTTGATAATAAGTGTCAGATTTCAGAAGGCACGCCTAGATTGTTGGACTTTACTTTAATGGAAAAATAATGTGAATGTGGATTATGTGTGCCTGGATGTTTGTCAGGGGTATTGTGGGTTACATCTTAGCTGGATGTCAGACAGACACAGTCCTGGCATGTTTTGTTAACGAGGGCAATGTCACTCCGTACCACTAGATGGAGACATTGTCTTCTTAACATAGCAATGAAATTCCCCACTTCATAAAACACCACTCCTTCACGTGGCATGTTCACGGCTGTTCCTTGTCACTTCTGCTTTCATTCTTGTCCAGGTTATTTATATGTAAGGTCCACTCTTAGAATACGTATTCCTAAAAATGTTGTTCCTTATTTTATTCAATCCAAATGCCTCACAATCTGAATCTAAATTATCCAAGCTGACTGCATCGTCCCCATTGCATTGCAATGGAGGAGGAGGAGGAGTGAGGAATTGCTACAGAGGTTGGATTTAGGGGAACTTCTGGAAGTCCAGACTATAAAAGCCCAGGGTGGAAGTTAACAGTGTCTCTGGTCACTGTGAATCTTTACTGATTAAGCGGTGAATCATCGCTGACCAAGTGGTCAGGATCAAAGCTTTAACCAATTCTAGCATGTCTTCTATAACAATCAGCAACATTTTGTGCCTTGGTTCTTGATCCTGTGATGGCCAAACCAGATATTTTCAATCTAATGACTAAATCTGATGTTTGATGTGATTCTGGGTGCAGCTATGAAGGTTGTCATGAATCATCTGCTACGCAAAGTGAAATATAAGGAGATGAGGGTCCCATCTCTGACATGTACAGCACTGAGAAATTGCATGTCTGTTCCGGGTGTGGTAGATATATGGCATATATTTAACCCCTCCGCCAAAGAATGTAATTTTTTTCTTGGCTACTCCTAAAATTTACTCCAGAATTGACTTTTTTTTTCTTTGGGGCAAATGCAAAAATCAACTTCACATTCTGTGGAACACAATTAAAGACTTTAGTAAAGATATGCAACACAATTTTCTCAGTACCTGCATAAATTGTATCAAACTCCTGCGATTTTAGAGTTCTACAGCATGCTCAGCTGCACAGTTTCTTTGTGGCAACTGCATTGAAAAACCACTTAGAAAAGATTTAAATATAGTTCAGGTGGGTATCTGCTTCGGCAAGCGTAGGCTGCCAAGGAACAAGTAATAGGTTTATTCCATGCTGAAAAGAGAAGAAAGAAAACGCAACGTTTTGGCTGTATAGCCTTCTTCAGGTGTGAGAGAGACAAGGCAGGAATGGTAATGTAGCGGGAGAACACAAGCTGGGAGAGAGGAGGAGTGAGAGGCGGGAGCAGGGGACAGAGAGACCAATCAGGAGGTGTGAAGTCAGAACAGGTGTAGAGAGGTATGAAATGAAACTTCCAATGAATGGAGAAACTTGAGAAGAAAAGTAGTCTGTCTTTAAGAGAAGGGGGAAGGGAAGGGATCTTCAAGAAGATTTAAATATGTTTTGACAGTGTACTGAATTTGTTCTGCATGGATCCAGGCAGAATTATTGTTTTAAATGTAGTCCATCCAGACATTATCTAGATTTGAGGTCTCATTGAACAGTTTGCAGATACTATTGCACTGGCTGAGTGCCTTCTACTTCTTAATAATTGACTTCACCATGCTCAAAGATATATTAAATTCGAATTGTTTGTATGCCCTTCTGATCTGTGCCATTCTGCAGCTTTGTCTCTGAGCTGGTTTGAAGGCTCTTTGATCTTAATGTTTGAATGCTGTTATTGCAGAGACTACTAAACTGTGTGGCTCATTTACTGTAGGTAATTATTTGCACATGAATAATTTAGGTATGCCAAAGGATTTGAGTACTTAAGCAATCATGACTTCTTTCTTTCATATTGTCTTGTCTTTTTATACTTATTTTTATATTTATTTATACTGTTGAATTCCTTTTGGGGAAAAAAATCTTAACTCTGAAAGCAGCTCCCAAGAAGCCACATTCATTATGCCAACCTTTGTTGAGGTTGTGTTTTTCAGCGTGGCGCCGATTTTTCTTCTGTAGGTGTGTTGTCAATGGCCAACGCAGGACCAAACACAAACGGATCTCAGTTCTTCATTTGCACCGCGAAAACGGACTGGTACGTAGGAAAAGCCTGTCGTTTATCCCGCGCGCAGGCAGGATTCCGAAAGGTGCCCTCACTCCTCCTCCTCCTCGGGTCTTTCCTAGGTTAAATGGAAAGCACGTGGTGTTCGGCCATGTCGCGGAAGGGATGGACGTGGTGTCGAAGATGGAGAAGCTCGGCTCTCGAGGCGGGAGCCCCTCGAAGAGGATCGTCATCACCGCCTGCGGGGAGCTTGCGTAGCTGCCTCCCCCGGCTGTAAGACTGCCACGCTGACTGTGAATTAAACAATACTCCTTTACAACTGGCGTCAGGTTGCATCTTGTCCAGAGTACTGTATTTCAGGGGCCCGGAGGGTATCGGGAGAGACATTTGTTCTACTTTTGAAACAAATTCTGAATGTAAGGGATTTCATCTTTTAAAAATCAGCTCTGCTATAAAAAGTGCACTCCTTCGGTACCAGTACTATCCGAGTGGTTTAGTCCGTGCTACAGATTTCAGCAAGTATGATGAACTCTGAATTAAAAACAAACTGGACCAGAGTCCTCTTAAAGTGTTTCAAAGTTCATGGTGAAATACAATATCTGAAATTTAAGAGGAGAAAGCTTTTGAGGTCTTTCACAAGAGCTTGGCACGACCTTCTATTTTGAGACCTAATGGAAATAATGTGCACTCAGAAATGTCCTGACATCTATAATGTGTTAAAAATATATTTAAATTAAGATTGGTTTTAATTTTTACATACTACAATTACATTTCTTGTTTTTTATTTCTCCTATCGGTACACGTTATGCACATTTAGTTACTCTTAATAGTTTTCAGTTGAAGGAAAATATTCTAATCCTACTGTATAGTGTTATGCTGCAATAGGTGAAAATAAGAAAAGAGTTCTGCCGATTCGGTGCTCCTCAAAGCTCTTTCTTGGTTTTAGAACTAAAATATTGTTTTTGTTACTGGACATGAGAGTGCCCTAATGATGATACCAACTACTGCATCTGTGCATGTGAACATGAACAGTTAACATGAAATACTGGCAGTTAACATAAACCATGTGAAATAACAAATTGTGTCTGTGAAACAAGCTACCAGCTGTATTGTGAAAGCAAAATCTCAGGGATCCTTCAAGAATCTGGTTTGCAATGATATAGTATTCAAATAAAGTGCAAACAAAATGGCTGGCACGATGGGTTAGGTGATCTTGTGTTCTCATCTTGGATGCTCCAGGTCTGTCTAGTTACTGTCGATACCTATTAGTCCAGAACATCTAGCATGGCCTAGAATCTAGAAGCACAGAAAAATCCCATTTTTAGTATGCCTAATGTCCCACTAAGGTTTGAACTTGGATATTACCGTTTAATAATCTAGTAGATAGCTTTGTAAATCGTACCTTGAAGGCATTTGATTTAATTTTTGGATTACCGTTTAATAACCGCTCTCTTTTCCACAGAGCGATAGCTTATTGAATGGACTTGCCCAGGTCCTCTGACACCAGCCCGCCTTTTATGTTTCCTGGTTGTGATCCAAAGGCTTTTTTTAGCTCGTAGTTCCAGCATGGCTTCCTTTACTTGGGTACAGGATATGACATCATGCTTCTGGTTTCCTTTTATTCATGAAACCGTGTGCAGATAACTGTGACAACTCTGTAACCCTGTGGTTATGAATACAGGACAAACAGGCTCTTCAGAAGTTGTTTACAACAAAAGCAGTAACAGTGTAGCTAGACACAATGTTCTGTGTTTTTTGCGCCTTGAACATGTTCCCCAAACTACAGTACACACAAAATCTCAAGTGAGAAGGGAATTAGTAGGTCACTTTTACCTGCAAACAGATAATGTGTGAGATAATCGTTCTCTTTTATACAGGTACTGTAAGTGGTGCCTAAGTGTATAGGTGTGAGAGTGGTATTTAGATTTTTTTAAGTATCAAGCAAGTGATAGTAAATTTTAAATTATTTTTGTTGTTTTCAAAAGTTTATATGCCTGCAGTAGGCTTAATTTCATTTTATTGTGCTGCAGAATTTTAGCAATTTCAGTTTGTTATATGTGACCCACATTTGGCTGAAAAACTCTTAAAAGCTCTAGGCCAATAAACATTTTCTAAGAAAAGTTTTTCATGGATATGGACTGTTTTCCAAGATGTGCAGTTTTAATCAAAGCATTTTGGAAAAATGAACAGCTGAGTTGCTCTCATAGTTTTTGGCTCGCTCTTTTGAAACACAGCACTTAGTACATCAGTCATGGTTATGTCGTGGATGACATGGATTCGAAGGGTGAGCAGAACCCTTAGGCAATTTTCTTATTTTTCTGTCAAAATGTTTTTTTTTCATTCAACCAGGAAAGAGACGGTAAAGCTAGTAGCAGAACTACTTTGCTTTCCTACTGTTCAGTTCAACAAACACAAGCTGATTTGTAGTGTATAAAAAGACCACCTAATCACTGCTGCTACAGCCTAGATTCTGGCTCAACTACATTCCAAACAGAGTCTGATCATGTTCATTTTCACCTATTGGAAAGCCTGTACACGTGGCAATTCAATGAAATGTCACAAGAAGAAAAAAAACCGAATGTGAAGCCACCTTTACCAAGATGATCTAACTGGGGACAGTGGCAGCATCGAGCTAAGATCCAGTTTGTTAAAGAGCAGTTCTAACTATATCTCTTATCTGTCAACTGCAGCTAAGGAGAACAGGTAGAAGTAGGTCCAACTCAGGCCCAGTTATCTATCCTTTACCCTATGAAACACTGTTTCCAGTCAGCTTGCTGTTTCTAATGATTTCACAAGTCCATGATGTACCGTATGAGGCAGACATTTGTAAATCATTCCAGAATAGGTTCCAGTGACAATGTGATAGCAAACAAATGGTCAGAAAACAGGATTTTGCCTGTTTTTTTTGTGGCTTGGGGGAGGAGAGATCTTTTAAGAAATCTCTTGTGAACATGAATAAGATTTTAAAAAACACAAATAGGCAGCTTTTTTCAATATTGCCAGATAAGTACCTAGAGATACACAATCCAATTTGTGTGATGACCTTTTAATCAAACACTTTCATGTAGAAGAATTCATTCAGGACACACGGTGAGAAAAATCTGGTCACGTGATTTCTGTGCTGATATAGGTTCAGAGTGCAAAATGTCTGAACTTTTAGATAGTTCAGTGCCTTATAGTCTGAGGCATCTTAAATAAATCCATATGTAGTGTGAATGTATATTCCAGCCATATCTGGTTGGGCTCAGGTCTCAGATTTCCTAGTTACTGTTGAAACATTTTTTTTCTTGTGCAAGTTCATCATCTGAAGTTAAAATATACTTTATGGAATTTTTTATTTCCCATTTCTCATAAAGCTTACAAGACTATAAGCTAGCTCGGCTACAATTTGGACTTTTGTATTCTACCTTTGCCCAGATATTCTCAGCTTCGAGGTACTCAGAAAATGCACTGAAAAAACCTCCTTTTCACGAAAGCCCCCTCAAATCTTGAGAAGGATAGAAAAACAAACTGCTGATTCCTGTCATTTTTGTTAATAATCAGTCATGTTGATTGTCTCTGTTGTTCTACTCGTACTGGTATTATTTTTGCACTTCACAGTCCCATGCATAGGTGGTCACAACTACACCAAAAGACCAGAAATGTTACATACATGCGTCTTTAGTCCTGGAGGGCTCGACCTAGGCTTTTCTGGGTCTCTTAATTCAACAACTTAAGCTCTTTGAACCTTGTTAATTGATCTGGGAGAGCTAATAATCATCTCTGTCAAGTAAAGACTGAAAGAAGAACGAGAGCCTGCAGACACCTTTTAGCGTCAACCTAAAAGGAAAGCATGAGAAGAAAAGTTAATAAAAATATGAACATTGACGTACCTGATACACTAAACTTTTCATCTATTTAAATGAAAGGGTTTAAGGGTTGTGGGAGTAGGGAACTCTGCAAGATTTTCTGCTCAATGAGTTACTAACTTCCAAATGGATGAGATGGGGCCTCCTTTTGTCTGCAACCTTGATGTTCTTAAATTTATATTTGTGTTTTGAGGGGAAAAAAAAGAAGGAGGTGTCTGAGATGAGTATACCTTCTCACTTTAACAGGATATATGGTTTGCCCTGGCTCATCACCACACAACTGTCTGAAACCTAGAGTGTCCTGTCATTATTCCTCATGTGCTGACTTTGTGGTCTGTACAAGCAGATTTCAGATGTTCACAGTAGTATGTCTGGAATGAAGACAGTGCTTTGCGGTTTTGTACCTAGGTTTCAAGAATGGACGAAACGTTATGCAATATTTACGTTTTCTTGATGACAAGATAACTTTTTTTTTCCATTAAAAAAAAACACGAGACCAAAGACAAGAACAAACTGTTTCATTATTTTAATGAAGCAATAAAACTCTTAAAAGTACTAAAGCAAATGTTTTTCCTAATCGACAATAAGGCACATTTCGGAATGCCATTTAATGGACAGTGAACAGAGTTTACATTCTTTCCTCGTTCCCAGTTCAACTTTTTTCCAGCCTCCCTCTGTGTTTTGTCCATTTTCAATTTAGCATTAGTTTGTTTAAAAACTTAAGTTAGAAAAACCAAGTAAACACTGATAGCTAATATACCATGAAGCAGTGTACATTAATATACTGGACCTTACTTTCGGTACACACTGAAAGTCAGTATGATAGAATATGAGCTGGTGTAAACTAGTATACAATGTAGTTCAATGAAGCATACTATAAGTAGTTTGGTGTACCCTAAGGTAACATACAAAATTTTGCAGACCATCTTATACACTCTAAATGCATCAAATATGTAGACAAGAAAAATATTTTCCCCAAACAATTTTAAAACATCATGCACATGCAAATTTTAACAGAATTGTATGTCTCACATGTTTGCTCTACAGAAAAGCAATTCTACACTATGCACAAAAATTCAATATTAGTTCTTTAACAATACTGCTTTAGTAGACTTTGTATACTAGAACTCACAGTTTCTTGTGCTTGAATACAGTGGTGAGTGTCTGTAACATAAAATATTGTTTCATAACTGAAAGCACACATAATTATTGCCTTTTCTTCAGCGGTCTCTGTAACATATTTTCATTACATAAACATCAGTACTTCTCTTAACTAATAAAATTTTATAACATTTTAATACTGCTCTTTAAAATGATAAAGTAATTTCCAAAATACACATATATCAGCTCCAATAAGTATTTTAATATTAGTTTAAGCACTTGAATAATATGATTGGTTAATTAATACTGATAATATTTTCATCCACAAAAAAAATGGCTTTTAAGAGAGCAAGGGCATTTAAGAATTATGTACCAACCTTGATATAATAATCTATGTAGACATCAATATTTCCTTCTAGTGTAGTTTTCTTGCATACTTTATACAGAAAAAAAAGCATTGTAATAAAAAAATCCTTCCATAAATATTTTCTGCAGGATATACCCTCAGATTGTAAAACATTTAAGAAAAACTCCCAGCTTTGTCTTCCAATAAACGGCCCTTTTTAAACAAAAAAAGCTCGGACATTGCAAATAACAATTCAAAACAATGAACAGTCTTTTAAAAAAGATGGCCTTCGAATATATACAGAAAAAAGTCATTGCAAAGATCTCGGTTAGGGAAAGAGCTTTTTATCATTTGCAATTGTTCTAAAATTTTAACATCTAGAAAGGTTTCCAAAATACACACATTGTACATATAAAAAAATCTCCATACTCAAAAGGAACTGTAAAAGTCAAGTATATGTATCTCAAGACGAATACGTCTACAAGCATTTAACTATTTCATGAATGGGTGTGCATTCCAATACATCTATCTAGTCAGCTCTGTAGTACTGACCCTCTTTGAAACTTGCACAGATCACAGTAGATTTATGTAGGCACTTCTCTCCCAAACAAAATGGTTTACGCTTGCGACTTGAAACCATCACATTTAACAGTTGCTTCAGACGGTCATACATTTCCGCATTTCAGATCAGTCAGAGCGATCCTAAGTCCTGTTATTTTATGTGGGTGTTTGGTGTAGCCAACTTTCAGCCAAAGCCAGTGAATACAGTGGAATGATACTAGCTTTACTCTTCCTCAAATGTAAAACATAAGAGCAGGAACAACGTTTGAAGATTTCTGCTATGCCTTTAAGTTTTATGTATTTTGAATTCCAAAATCTCAGGCCCCTAAAACCTTTCAGTTGAGGGTATTAAACCTGCCAAAGGTATAGCCACTGTATATACATGTAGACAGAAACCTAGAACCTTGATTATAAAATGCCAAAGACCAATCAAAACAACAATGAATAACTGGCAAGAATAAGTCCTGCAATTAAATACAAAAAGTAAAGGCTTTATTTTTGGGATTAAATATGATTCAGCACTTTGCATTGAAATAGTTTTCTGCTGATCCCAAGTGCACTGAGAAAGAAGCTGGGAGTCAGATGTAAAACTGTATACCTATGCTAAAATCAACTAATTTCATATTGAAGTATGTAATATACTCTAGAATTTTAACTTGCTGTCAGTTATTGTTATTGGTTCCTGAACTGTTGACATGTTCCTCTTCATTAAGAGCGATTTAATCATATGATACTCAGCATGCATGCTCATTCCATATCTGGAGTTTTCGAGGTGTCCAAGAAATTGTTCGAAAGAGTAGATAATCGTTTTTTTCCCCAGCTGCAAAAACTCTCCATAGCAGCCAAATAAACTTTATAGAAAATGAGCCTCTCACATCTCAGTATTTTACCAGTCCTGCCCTATCCCTTGGTAGCAATAGCATTTATGTTCAATGCTGTCATAGGTTTTAGCCTCTCCTGCCATCTTGAATCCATTATCTCATCAGCTCTGAATCGCCAAGTGTTCACACTGGCGACATGCAAATAAAGCTTAACACTACGCATGCACAGTATTATTTCACACTGCCCTGGTGTCCAGAGAATTACTGAAGGCACACAGACAACAAACCATGAACTTCATGAAATCTACCTGGAAACAATGATCCTCGAAGTCTGTGACAGAGCTGAGCAGAAACATGCCAACTGAACACTCTTGAATCATACAGTAGGGTAAAGGCAATCAAATTAAAGCTTTTAACTCTGTATTTATTATTCTTATATCAAATACACTATATACACCACAGGGTAAAGCAAAGCTTCTAAACACAGAGAGCAGGTTTCTGGAGCACTGACTACAAGCCTGAGCCGACCTTTGACCTGTTGGCTTGGTTCTCAAACAAACCGGTTTCCAAAACCAAAATGAACAGGCACATTAACCTGGCGTTGCCCACCATTTTCAGAGTCCCTCTTTCAAATAACATTTCATAGTCGTCTCCGTGGCAACAGGTCTGATTGTTTTTGCCAGTCGGAAATTTTTGTTCATGCTTTCAAACCAACTCACAGAACAGAGGAAAACACTTTCCAGTTTACCACTAAAGCGCTTGAGTGGCAAATGTAGTCCCATCCTCACACATAATTTCACATATATAAACTTCACAGCTCCAAGGGGTTATACTGTATTACTTCCCACTTTCTATAGCAAGTCCTGATTAGTAGCACTGAAGATCGGTTGCATAAGAATTCCAGGCTGAGTAGTCCTTCATTTTCATTTGCATTTAACAAAGGATTTCTGCCTAACATGTTCCAGAAATGAAAGTGTCTTCAATGTGCTATATTAAAAAGACATAACATCTTTTAAGCAATTTGCTAAAGAAATTACAATAAGTTTTAAGCATTTCAAGTTTAGTCTCCAAAGGTACACATTCTAAAACAGAATACAAAGTACAGTTAGAGTACAATGCCCTACCAAAATACTTTGGGATTAAAAAGAACCATTTTCTTCTACAACAGTAGGACTGAATCCCTGCATCAGTTTTGAGCTAGATGTACCAAATAGCTTCCCCTCATTTGTAACCTTACATTCTTATGTAATAGAATAACATTTACTGATATTATTTTTCCTGTAATTAGTCTAAATTAGAAGCATTAAGTGGTGTTCTGTGAACCCATTCCACACCTAACATAATTTACTTTAAAAATAAACTTCAACCTTAAGCAGCTTCAACCTCATCTTCAATGAGTCAGGACCACCTTGTTAATTCCTACATTTCAAAACCCTCAAACACTACTTAAGGGGCTTGTGTCTGGTGCTGTAATTTCCTGAAATGAGAAGACAATGGCCTTAAAAAGTCTTCTACTAAACCGCTTTGTCATGTCATGTTATATTCTTCTGTAAATGTGAATGGTGAAACAGCTACAAAATGACAACTCTGCTGTGCTCCACTGTGAGCTATCCCAGACTCTTTCTGAAAGTAACAGACATCTTGGTTCATAGCATGCTCTATGAAAGGGATCACTTTAAATCAACAGGCACATTCACAGAATATTAATCTCAGCTAAACCCCTGGAAACCCTTACAAAGGTGTTGCGAGCAGAGGTCAATGTTGAGGTGTGTGACCTTCCTTCGTACTGTTCGCAAGTCTATAATATAGTAATACTTATTTAGAAATTTGACCCCAGCTCCAGTTCATCCCCATCATCAGCACCCTAAACTTCTTTCCTAATGAAACTTTCTCACATAATTTTAGCACAAACGTTCCAGTCTTTTTCAATTCAGTGTAAAATACCTCATTTCAATGGCACACTTCTCGACAGATACGAGAAGAGTTCACAAGATTTAGAGTTCCTCCACCATTTCGACAGGAATTCTCTTTTTCTAAATGAAACATTGGAAATGAGATTACATTCCCCATTAACTCTAACAGCTGTCCTAAATCTAATGTTATTCATGTCAAATTATCCTTAATTGATGGCTGAGTGAAACCGAGCGTGAAAGCTCTGTAACAATAGGCCATTTTCAAGGAAATGACATCTTGGAACTTGTATTCTCAGCCAATCAGTACATGTTTTTTTTCTTTTAAAAACCGTTAGTTACCAAAGCCTCAGGACTGCCAAATGTATTTAACAGCTTTTTACAGTTGATATTTCTTCTCATCATCACTGCTCCTCCTCCTTTAAAAACTTTTAAAAAGCTGACAACATGAAAACAAAATTGTAAAATTCTTGTAACATCTGCAGCTGAACATTTAGCAACAAACCATTAAAGGACTGGGTGTAAGAATTGACATGCCTGGTGCTACTACTCCAGCAGCACAGGAAACCTGAGAGCGAACTCCGCAGTGAAAGTGCTGTATTAAAGCACTGTGCACAGTCTCCCCTTCCTCGGCTTAATATCGGCCACTTGAATTACAGGTTAGATGCCACCTTTTGGGAAAAGCAGAACTTGCTTCATGAAAGGAAAGCTTAATTCTCAGTTCTGAATCCGGTCTTCGGATTCACTGAGACATACTTTGAAATAGTTCATCACTGCTCTTAATGAAGCTGGATACAGTCTCAAGAAGCTGCAGCTCACCAATCAAAGCGTAGGTTAAACACCATGAGAAACTTTGATGGTCCTATTGGTCATACAGAATCCAACCGATTCGAGCTAGATTCAATTCGAGATTCATCAAATTTGAATGTATTTATTAATTTAATATAATTATATCAGATGTATTAATTCTTGGAAACATGGTGGTTCTGGTGATTACTGCACAGTGAGCGTTAACATGGGGACATGGCTCATCAGGACAGCCACTTCATCCTAAAACTGCACGTTTTTAAGATGTTCGAAGTTCGAAGAGAACAACCCATTGCATCTTAGAGTGTCAAGTACAAGCTGAATCGTATATATATCGAAAAGATCACTGAAAGCAAGTGGCTAACTCAGGTGCTCCTCACATTCCACATGATGCTACAGTCAAGTGGATGAAGTCTCAGGTGGCTGTGAGATGTGAAGCTACCACGCCTGGAAGAAACGCCCCAGTGAAAGCACCTCGCAGGCAGCTGAAAGTTCATTTGCTAAGCCTATTAAGCGGCAGTTGAAGGTAACAAGTTACATCTTTTTGTAAAACCCATTAACACATTGAGATTTAAAGCCACGCTATAAAACAATCTACAGTAGTTTCTACAGACAGGGAAGCACGGCTGCTACCGGGATCTGTGTGTACATCCCAGCTAAAAACAATACAATTGCACAGTGAACAAAACATTAGATATAATCTACAACAAAAACATGCAACTCTCCAGTAATAAATACCTAGGCAGCATACAAATCTGGGACACATCCTCCATAATCCCTCACTTAATTCACAGTTGATTGGATTTTGATGTGCTGTTGACCCAATGAACAGTAAAGCCTAATTAAATTAATAAAAAAGTAATAATACTAACCAGCACATCAAAATATTTCACTTGGCAGGGAAAAAAAACACATGGAACAAACCATTCTGTAAACAAATAAGCAACAGACACCACTATGAGGTAATCCATTGTGTCTGGCATGGGTAGCAATACTGTCTAGGTCATTGATAATGCTATAAACACTTTCATTTATACAGATACACAGGTAAATGTGTTACGTTGAATTGATATTTTTAAGGCCTATTAGCAGTGAAAATATATACATACTTAATTTGGCACGTTTCACTTCATAAAGAGCACTTTGTCAGTGAGCTAGCAGAGGACAGGATCAGACAGCGTGCGGCGGGAGACCATCCTGTCCACAGTTTACTGGACACGGCGGCAGTAGTAGCCCAGGACTTTGCACTTTTCACACAGGTGCTGGGGGTGCTCCTTGCTCTGGTCCGAGACGTCCAAGCCATCGGGTTTCTCCAGGGGACGCTGGATACATGAACAAAGAGCAGGAAGTCAGTACCCTAGAACCCCTGTCATGGCTCCAGCTGGGTCCACACACTCCTCTACAGAGCAAGGTTGGTCCACACACTCCTCTACAGAGCAGTTGGACACTACAGACTCTACAGAACAGGGCACCACTGCTCTAGAGCCCCTGTCATGGCCTGCAGCTGGATACAGGCAGCCCTCTACAGAGGTTAATTGACATCAGTACTACAACAGCACGCACTGATTTTACATTCACTGAGGGTGCAAGGTACTATTCGTTCACTATAGTTGCTTAGGTATTGGCGTTCTGAACTTGCAGATCCACAGATATTTCCTATTTTATTAAGTGTAATAAACCACATTTTTCTGACAAGCTACCAAACCTCTCTCACCCTTGTAAGCAGTGGTTAAGATTTTCTAATGAAATAGTTTGTTGGTTAACATTTACAAATGTGCCAATATTTTAGATGCACACTTGTAATACTTGATACATTTGATATGTTTGCTATTCTACATATTTTTACAAAATGCACAGAAAACTGTATTTTTTAACTGCAAAAACTGTTATTGCAAAAGACACTTTGAAAATATTACTAGGATTTATTTTCAACCTCCAAAATGCCTCTGCAGAGCAGCATTTGCTAAAAATCAATCACTTGCTAAAAGCTCATTCTAATGCCACACAGATCTCCAATATTACATTTCCAGCTGCATTTGACATAATTCCTAGACACAGATCGTATCTTTTAGTTCATAGCTCTTGTAAATAAACTACTTCAATCGCTAACCAACCCCAAAGACCTACAGTGAGGGCAGCAACAGGTAACATTTTCTGAAATTTAGATTTTCCTTGCTCTTTCATACTCTGCTATTTGCTAATAAAAAGAGTGTGCATTGGAGATTTTTACTTTTACGTGCTGTGATTAAAGTGAAAGCATACACTGTCATGTCTCTTGATATAAACCAGCTTGAAAAGCGGGGAAAAAAACTGCACTGGGAATTATTTTCTTGGAATTGATGCAAAGAATACTGGGAATACCTTTCAGTGCCAGCAACTGTTTGGATGAATATCATAAACAATACCTCTGCAACCATTTGTTTCCTGCTCTGCACTGGTGGAGCTCATTTTTTATCCAGCAACTACCAGGCCCGAGAAATGTTTTTATTTCCAGAATGTCTTAAGATGTTCTTCACAAACCAGGTTACTGAGGGACAGCTGTAACAGACAAGGCAGCGCTTGCCTGGACCAAGTTTGCTCAAGGCCGCAGGGTCGAGTCTACGGAGAATAATATAATTTGGAAAACAAACAATTGCTCATAAATGTTGAAGGTTTTATTTTAACCAGTGGTAAAAATACTTTTACTGCAGATATCTTTATTCTGCCCGGTATTATGAAGGATATACTTTCTTTCTAGGATTCCAGCAAAAGTTCTAGTACACCTCCTGACACCAGGAATTGTAACTCCACTACTTTCCACAGGGAATAAGAGAGAAATACATTTGTTTATAGCGACAGGGTCTGTTCATCACATTAAGCTCCAGCCTCTCATCTTACAGTCTTACAGTTAAATACTTTTTTCCCCCAAGCAAGCTATCAGCTAACAGACCTCGACTGTCTTGGGAGCTTTACCGAGGCCCACTATATCATTTAATGGTACACTAGCCAATCGTACAGCTTGAATGGACTCCTCTCGTTTGTAAGGGAAAATAGGAAATATCTTCTTACTTTGACTGCTTAAGGCATTACACGCTTTCAGATTTCAGGAGAATCTTGGAATGGCATTCAGTAGGAGGAAATATTTTGGATTTTCTTTTCAAATCCGCAGTACCCACTAAATAGAAACTGCTACCTGCTGAAATTGCCGCTTTTAGAAACAACAGGTATGTAGTGCAAAACCTGAAAAATGAAAATATTAAGTCACCGTCATGGCAATTCCTTTGCCTAATTTAAAGATCTGGAGAACAAGGCGCACAGATCTTGAAGTGTTTCTTCCTCCTCTGGCACTTCACCGTTTGACAAGCAATTACAGTTTAAGAAGAAAAGTCTGCAGCAACAACTGCTTGAAGTACGGTATCTGTCTGCAGCCCTGGCATCACGATCTCCTAAAGTAAAGGACGTCCTCACTCAGGTGTTTCTGCACATGTATTGCAGAGAAAATGAAACCCTAACAACTGGACCACTGATTTGGCTTGTAAAGTCATCCTTTAAAAGTATTTCACCTAGCTGGTTAAGTTACAAAGGCATAACCTCCACACAGCTTTCGCTCCTCAAATTGTTTAAATCAGTTTTATCTCCATTAAGAAAAGCAAGAGACTATCCACCTGAAGTCTTTTTAAAACCCATGTGAAATGGACGTTCATATAAACCGCACCTCGGTTTATAGGTTTATTACCTCTGTAATGTTGATTAGAAAGAAAAACTTGAAAATGAAACCCATTTGCCCTCAGTCTGGAATGTCAGGATGCTGGGTAATTTCCTTCATTGTCTTTTTACTTTCTTATGGGAAACAGAAAATGATGTGTCACTGTATCTTTGTGTATGGAGGGGTGATAGATACACAGAAAAAAATACATCTAATGAAACAGACACCACTACGTCCACAGCCTAATTGTCTTACAGGATTAAAGTGAAGTGCAAAAAGGCCTTTAAAATATCAAAAAGAAGGTCTCAGACACTAGGTGTGGGGTTTTAGCATTCTTTCAATTACTGAGTAGATGAAATAGGTCACGTGGGTGACTCTGCAAATGAATATTTGCATTTTACCACCTGTTCTCAATCAACATACACCCTGCCAGGCAAAAGGCCAGGACTGACAAGACTGTATACCTCCTACGTAAGGACATATGAAAAGCATGGAATGGGAAAGACTTCAGCTTTTAAATGGGCATAAGGGCCAGAGTGAAAGAGTGCTCTGTTCATCTAAACAGGCACATGACTGTAGCTGGCAGGATCTGCCTCCTGAGCTCATTTACGCAGATATTTTTACTTAGTATTTTACCTCTTTCATACCCTCAGATTTTTACTGTGTGCAATAAACTAGGAACAAATAATGCCATGAAGTTATGGAATGATGGTTTAATTCAATTGATGTTTTAGTTTGAAAGTGGTCTATGATGTAAATGCTGTGTTTTAGAAAAAATGCTAAACAAAGCAGATTTCAGCGGATGCTTGTTCTTGCTAGATAAATGCCTATAAAACATCACTGGTGGCTTGGAATTGTAAAGCTCATCAGTTAATGTGACCTCAATGTCAGATTCATTTCACAGCTCAAATCAGAATGCCCAATGATATATGTGATGTGGCTGACTGGTATTTGGCATGAACAGGGGTGCCAGATCTTATTTTCTGTTCTTGAGGCTGTGAAAGCCAAGAACTATTAGGAATTCGGTATTAGGAATTTTCAGAACCTATACATTGTTTTCAGTCTGTGGGCTTTCAGTCCATTTGGCACTGTCCTTTGAGGAAGGGCCTGTGAGGCAGAGGTTCTAGAACCAAGATCTAGATCACTTTCTTCACTACCATTGGCAGTCATTGATTTTAGTCTCATGGGCTCAAGTTTGTTAGAGTCTATGCTGGAAATGCAAAACCCATTTCACTTTCAACCCAGCTGAGTAAAGGTGAAACGTGGTCCTCTGAGCCTGTGAAACCTTGATAACAGGACTATGGATATGGCTGTTCAAGTTTCCTTTTAAAAAGGTTTTACTTATCCGGCAGAAATGTTAGAAACCCCCAACAGTATGAAATTGTCTCTCCACAAAGGTCTCCGGAGTTGAAACCAGTTTGCTCATTAAGAATAGCAAGAGACCCCATCCAGATTGAAATCATTTTGAAAACCAAATCTGCTATGCCACATGTTCTGAAACCTTGAAAATAATTTGAATTCACTCTAATTAGCGATACCTTTGCACTGCAAGATTTCCAAATTAGTTTGCTTAGACTGTTTCAACAGAATAAAAATCCAGGACTTCAGCTTTCTGCTGAACATAATTGCAAACAGATGAACAACAAATACATTTTTTGTAAACATGGCTATCTGGGAGAGAACTGGGCCTCTATTCAGTAACATCAATAACTTGAAGTGATTAGTGATGTCAAACTAACATTTTGTTTTTTTTAATGACCACCACCCTCTTGCTACAGTGTTGTTCTTTAAAATTCTAAAAATCAATTTTGAAACGCAGCCAGATTATTGTAAAGGAAAGCACTGTTTATTTTGGCCCATTTCTCTGAGTTTGAAGTGTGTAATTTCAGAGTAATTTAAACCATTGTTGTAAGCTAAGCAACACTGAGTAGTTCAGTGCACAAACGACACATAAAAAGTAAGAAAACACCACAAATGGGACCAATCTTTCTCTGGATTTAATTACAACTAGAAAAAAAAGGAGTTACTGCTTTTTCCAAGAATCATTGAACATTACTACTTCTCCAAAATGTTCTCTTTTTTCCAGGCGCACAACTATATGATGCCATTTGGATTTTCAAAGGTTTAAATAAAAACTGACCTTTATGCCTTTTGAAGTACCTCTAATGCTGTAAGCAATTTTACCCAAAAAATCTTACTCAGGCAGTCAGCAAAATTGCATATTGGCATTAAGGAAATGGATCCTCAACACCACACACACCATGATGTGACCCCTCCCAATCAGCCCAGCACCCCACTCTAAACACTCAATACTTTATGTTTCATCACTGCCTTATTCTGCGGGAGGTAGCTTCCCTAATTTCCACAGTGGAGTGGACTGACAAGGTAACAATAGCTGAATAGTGTTCTTCTGCAGACAATGCGGTTCATCTGAACAAAAGCTGTGCTCTGGGCAAAATTTACCTGACCAATATTCATCAGGTACGACAGTCGCTGATCACTGCTGTTTTCACTGGTACACAAGTATACTGCATGTGCCAGTGTTCAGCTGTAACCAGCCCCATAAACACATTCCTCGTCAAAGGAACATGCAATGTGGCATGCAGTGGCTATACTAGCGGTTCTGTGCTTCTTATGAAATACAGCAACAGCAGATTCAATTTCACTTTCAATCACAAATTCTTCCTGAAGGAATTTCAACCACAGCACACTCCTTCAGGTGACTATGATCATTGATTTCAGGTTCAACTTTCAGCATCTGACAGCCCCAATAATAGGAATTTGTAATTGGGGAATTTTACAAGAAAGGAATAATGTAGCAGCATTAAACTAACAGCATAAACAATCCGTATTTTACAGTAGATTCTCTTTGATGCTCCAAGAGGTGTGCTCAGCTGGTACCTGTTTGTGTGGGTAAACATTAATATGGCACTTGATGCATTCTTGGCCCATGTTGGCCCAGGAATTTCCACTCATCCACTTCCTCTTGCACTTGGGGCATTTGTACTCTCCAAAGCATCGCTTCTTCCCCTGGTACGGAGTCAGTCCTTCGCCTTTGGGTCGGGCCTGAAAAAGACCACGGAACATCAACACTTCAGTGAGGTACTTCACCAGTTTTTTCACACGGCATCAAGGCAGTTTAGATTTATTGTGCACAAATAGTCTCAAACCTTCTTCTGGCCTTTGGAATGAAACCTTACAGACCCTGCTGCTGAAGTCATGTTGCAGACATGTAGTGTGACTGCTGTATGGCTTTGCCAAAGGAAATTCCTATCACAGAGACCGTTTTAATGAGTTGTGTGTGATTCCAATGCAATTTCCTTCTCAAAATGAACTGCATTAATCTGACCAAGCATTGCTCAATCTTAAAGGATGCCATCACTAGTTCAGATTCTGAAAGAACATTTCTGTGCAATCATTACAACAATAAAAAAACAAGCTCACAAATATTTATCTAAATAAGTAATGCACACCCCCACAACGTTTCCTAAAAATGGTGTCCATGGGCTCTTTAGCTGTTGTAACAAAGAGGAAAATAAGTACCTTACCTAATGTATTAGCAGATACTGCATCCGAATATAAAAGCAAACAAGCGTTTTGGTTAACTGGACAAACACCCATGTATTAAACAACTGGAGACTTCAGCCCTGTCTCTATGACTTCAGTGACCTGGGCAGAGGAAAGAGTCATGGATTGTGGGGAATTTATTACAAGGCTCAAGTCTCCTTTCATAATTGGCTACGTCTTGTTGATGACCACTGACTGGGAGATGCCTCATAGAATAATAAAGTATCTAGTTACTTCAAACTTTTATGCTTCTCTGGGCTGTAGTATTACATTAGCAATTTTAATGGTTTTAAGCCTGGCCTGTCATAAAAGACATCATATCAATGAGTCCACAGAGCTTTCTAAATAAAAGCTTCATGCCAGAAGAGGTCTAGGAATAGAAAGTTCATATGTAATTCAATCTGTATATTACTGGGACCTAAATAAATTAGCTGCGTGTCCTTTCATCTTTCACAAGATGTGTTTATTACTTTTATTATCTTACATATTGAATTGTTTCTTACTGTTAATACAGCACTAGACAAGAAGGAACTGTAATTTTTCTCTGCATGTTCCATTGTTGGGTATAATCTATGATGCTTCAAATGGAAGGCAGCATTTGTAGATTTAATACTGGACCAGTGGACTTCAAAAAGTGAAAAAAAGCAGTACACATTTTCTAAGGACATGAACAAACAAAAGCACAAAATTCTTCTAAAAAGTACTGTTCCATGACTAAGTCTGATGTTCAGCCAAAGCAAACAAGACAAACAGTCTCATGTCGCATTTGATGGCACCGGCCTCAAGTTTGGAAAACAACTGCTATCATGCTCTGTACAAGAAAACAAACTCAGAGGTTTAAACTGAGTTTCAGATGAGTGGAGAGACACTTACTGATGCATCACTGTTTTATACAGCCAAAGCTGGAACCACAAAATACAGAGAAGTACAGCATTCTAACAGATTTTCCCAAATCTGGCCTGTCACTAAAATGGCAACGTTAATGTGAACAAACCCGGGGATACCATTCGAGGTTCTTCTGCTGTGACTGATGAGACCCAATAAAGCCATTCAAATCATTTTATGATTAATGTAAATGATTAAATACATTTGTTGGGAGTATTTCATACACACATCCTCAGCACTTATTTAAGACTGTGGGAGTAAAGCCTCTGTTCTTATAGAATCACAGGCTCATGTGGTTTCCATCGAGCTGCACGTTCCCCTCCTGTCCTTTATCATAAATTACTCCGTGAGAAAAACCTGAGGATTAAGATGCTGCACGGTTTGCTTTGACTGAGCACACCGTCACGTTTCAGGAAGTAAAAGAGCAGAATTTCGTATTTTTAGCCATACGAGCCATGTCAAATTAAGTCTTCTATGTCACAGTGTTCTCTCTGAAGCAGGCCTGTGCTCTTCTATTCAGCAGCAAGAAGGAAGTGGGCCCAAAGCAATGTCCAGATACTGGGGAGCTGCAAATGGGTTCTCAGAGCAAGCCTGACGGGGAGGGTGGATGCAGTTGTCTAAGTTCACAAAGCTGCAGATCAGCATCACGAGTTATGACCAGACGTAAGAGGTTCTTGTTTGTTTGCTTTTGAGAGAACAGTCAATGTAAGTTTTAGATGGGAAAAAATGACAAATCTTTGAGGCTTAGGGAGGCCTTTTCTATGTCACTCTGTTGTTGAAATCTCTATTCATGAGGGTAAATAAGATTGGAAAGACATTCTCTAAAAACATCTGCTGGACTTCTGATGACAAATTTTTAAGGCATACTTTATAAAATCTTCACTCTGGTTTGCCCCCTTGTCCCAGTGGTTGTGGCCAGTCAAACCACACTAAGGCAGAGAGTCATGAAAACAGAACAGCCAATACATAGTAAAAAAAATGTAGTAATTAATTTGATAGTTTATGAAAGAAGCTATATACAATACTCTTCAGCAGCTCTTACAAAGTCAGACTTAGGAAAAAAAACATTCAAACTCTGTGTAATCCTGCAAAGTAATAATTATCAGCTGATGGAAAAATTAAAGCCCAATGATGTTTTTCAGCCATAACTACAAGTTTATGACTATAACTATCTGAGAATATCCAAAACTGCAGTACCTCATAAAACACATTGGTTCAAACATTTTATTGAGCTAGTAATCATTGTAACAATGTTTTCCTTTGTTACATGATCACTAGCTCAATAAAATCTCGTGCCCAAGTTGTTGTTTTTTAATTATACAAGATTGTTATCTGTAACCGAGTGTAAAATAGAAGATATTTAACATCCCAGCTTGTAATGGGACTGAGCACCAGTGGAGTGATGAGGAATTCCTCTCCCTGGTTTTTGATCACAGGCTAGTATATTGATCACAATACACAACATCGCTGGGAGCATCTCTGTTACAGGAACAACAGAGTGATGTACTGTGCCTTGCAAAAGTATTCACCCCCATTGGACTGAGACTTTTTGCCACTCATCAAATTATTATTAAAATGTCTGAATTATTTTTCCCACTTTGACGTTATACAGTACTTTGTGTTGATGAGTGGCAAAAAGTCTCAGATAAATACATCATGGTCCCATGCTGTAACACAATAAAATGTGAAATAGTCCAAAACTACTTTTGCAAGGCACTGTATATTTACGCCAACAGCCATATCACCCTGCAAATCACAACTGGCAACCCACTGAAGCTAAGCAGGTGTGAGCTTGGCCAGTACCTGGATGGGAGACCTCCTGGGAAAAACTAAGGTTGCTGCTGGAAGGGACTGTATCATACTCCTTTACTCCTAGGACTGCTGTCTGAAGATGCACATGACATTCTATTTGCAACCATAAGTGCCTTCTTTTTTAATGCAGCACGAAATTGATATCTGACTGAATGGGTCTGTCATCAGCCTTGACAGAAAAGTCACACTGTACCACATTAGATGTGTCAGGAGGAGGCCCCAGGCTGCACAGCGAGATATGAAAGCATGTCGGAAGGTTCTGCAGCCACAGGCCACCGGCACCACTTGGTTTAAGTGGGAAATGGATTTATCAAAAGGGCAAAATCCAATCGGGGACTTCAAAATTAGCCAAGTGTTTAGATATTTACTTGGAAACACATTGGGCACCTTGAAGAGTTTGCATTTTGTGACATTATGAAACCATCAGTGCAATTAAAAACCCCACAAGGCACCCACAAACTGGTATTATCTTTAGAAGCCAGAAGCAGGTTTCTAAAACTCTTCTACTCATGTTCATGGTCCTAAGACCCATTTCTAATCAGCTCTCTGGAACAAGCTCATTAGTCACATTTCTAATGTACCAAAGGTAAGTTTTTGTTCAGCACATCCTCATTACGCACAGCTACCCTTGACTGAGACAGACAGAGCGAGCCATCACTCTCTGTTCTTCTAGTGGAAGAACTTCATCATCACTTCTCAAAATCCTCTGTTAGCCAGAGCAGACTCACATTCCCGAACTAAGCTGAACACCAAACCTTGGAAATGTCACACAAACAAGTCTGTTGTTTTGTCAGTTGGAAGTGGAGCTGAAAAACATTACATCAGAATTCCAGTGCTCTGCCCTCCAATGCTGCTTGTGCAAAAAAGCTGAGTGTTGGAGTCTGAAGTGTGATGCTCCCAAGTTCATGAACACTGATCTGTTTTACTGTCAACACACATCTGAAATGCAGCATTTCCAATGGACAACGAAATTCTCCTTTAAAGCAGACTATTTTTTAACTTAACCAGAATCATGAAAGACAATTAGAAGTCACGGGAGACTGTCACTGGTCCAGGAGAATCCAGCAGTAAAATAACCTCAAGCTGCTTTGTTGTAAACATGCTTCAGAACAAAAGGAGCTGTCAGATGGAACGACTCTACATGTGTATCTCCCAGATGAAAGAACTTTCTGATCAGGGAGATAAAAGTCACTTTCATATAAATCAGCGGTAATAGTCAGTTAGCCCAGTACTTAGTCAAAAAGTCCTCATTTCCAACTGAATGGTTTAATTCCAATAGAAGCATACAGTACCCTAAATTGCTGCACATTCTCTCAATTGTGTTTCAGAAGATCCAATTTTAAAATCCAAGTCCAAGAAGATTTGCAATGCGTTTTTTATAGAACTGGTACACAAGGTAAAACCATTCAAATGTGAAAGTCATTCAGCACCGTTTAGTCGTTTACTAGTTAAAAGAACTGCATGATAAATCTCGGAGCCGTAAATCTTCTTCTTGAAATGAAAAAAAAAAGTGATCACTGGATGCAAAACGAGCCCCCTCCCTCCAGCTGTGATCCCCAGGGAGAGGGAGGGAGGCCCAGGCTGAGCGAAGCTAGCAGCGGGCTGAGCCTCTCTTCTGCAGGACGAATACCTCGGCTACACAGTCATCACTCCCAGCTGGAGAGGGCCCTCCAATCAAGGCCATAAAAGACTGGGGGAAAGGAAATCAAAACCAGATGAACTCCGTTCTGATAGAACGCAAGAAAATACTGAATCCATCATAAAACACTCAGGCTGCTTTGAATTAAGTCTTTTTTTTAAGG